GTAGCAGCTTACACAGCAGCTTGCAGTAGTAGCTTACACAGCAGCTTGCAGTAGCAGCTTACAAGTAGCTTACACAACAGCTTGCAGTAGCAGCTTACACAGCAACTTGCAGTAGCAGCTTACAAACAGCTTACACAGCAGCTTGCAGTAGCAAGATTTATTTACTTCATGGTTTTTTTTTTTTATAACAATTCGCAATTGCAATAGCTAAATTACCACCAATTCTTTGCCCCACACTCCCTCCCTCCATCCCCCAATTGGAGACGGTCAAGTTGTGTAATTATACAATTTGTGTGATTAACATTATCTAACTAAAATGGCGCGCCATTGTCGTTTACCTTCAGTGTTTTTCTTGATCTTCGTGCTCTCCTTACATCAAAAACGGCGTCGTTCACTGTAAAACCTTCAAGCGTGACGGTATTTCGCCTTTTCACCCTCATCTCGCCTCATTTACTTTTTCAGTTTTTTAGTTAGCTTCTGTAATTATGATTCCGTCTATTGAAATTTTATGCTGCTTTTTACGTATTAGTTGATCAAGTTTTCAAATTTACTTTATTAAGTAGTTTCTAGGTTTAGCATTTAGACGATTTAGTCAAAGTATAGCTATTGTTATAAGGATTTAAGTTATATACACTGACATATAATAATTTTACACTGGGTAATTTGAATTATTATAGCAGGTTACTTACCATTATTCAAAATAAGATCACCTGCAATTATCTTTTTAAGTGACCTGACTTTGTAAATATTTTTTATACTGTCAGTTCATAGAACTTAAATTCTTGTTATGATGTCGAATCACGATGCTATTTTGCTAGTAGTAGTGTCCATATTTATATTGTACTCCTTCTTTTCCATTTTACCATGGCATTTCAGATTATCAAAAGTTATATGAAAGTACTTGACTTGACACTGTTGTTAAGATGTTAATTTATGATTGTTACTTTATACTACTAATAGTAGTAAAAAGTTAAAGGAATGGTCGAAAAGTTAGTTCGATGTGAAGAGAGCATTCCATTAAAGCTTATAATTTGAATAATTTTATGAATTTGAAATCTTAAAAGTTAACATCCTGGGAATGCCGTATAAATTGGGAGAGGGAGGGAGAGAGAGAGAGAGAGAGTATGAATTACTCCATCCATTTCAATTTACGCGACGTAGTTTGACTTAGTATAGAGTTTAAGAAAGCAAATATAACTTGTGGTCGTAAACATGTCATGACATTTGTGTGGCTACAAAAGTTTCTCATTAAATGTAAAACGAGAAATTTAAAGTTAAACTGTTTCCAAATGTAGAAATATGTCATGTAAATTAGAATGAATGGAGTACTTAATTTTAGTACTTCTGACGTAAACTTTGTTATACGGAGTAACTTTTTCCGTGACGAAGTGAAATTACTCAATGTTTTTGTTCAAGCATGTTAAATTTAACAATTTGATCCATGTCATTCACTTCATTTATGAAAAGAAAAGTTGGTTCATGTAAAATCTAAAAGTATGTTTCTTTTTTATGATTGTAGTGAAAGCTTTGAATGAAATTTAGTCATCTCTTGGATGGAGAGTAGTGTATGCATGGGTTGGCGATGATCCTTGTGGAGATGGTGATTTACCCCCATGGTCCGGTGTTACATTTATCACACAGAGTGATTATAGAGTAGTTACTGAACTGTAAGTGTTGCCTCTTTGTTTCTAAATAGTCATTCTCTTGCTTTTGGATATAATATCTGCCAATCATTCTCTATTTTATGTTCGAACAACCTGTACTATAATATATATCTATCTAATAGTTGTCATTTTCAAAATTCCAATATCACTATCGCATCTCCTCACAATTTTGTAGTATTAAACTTGCATGGCAGTTTATGCTGTTTCCATTGTTGGACTATTTCCTACTGCAGTGACTAATCTGTTGGATCTTACTCGGCTGTAAGATTCTTCTTCGCTCTATACCAGAATTTAATTCCTGATGAGCTTTAGCCATTTTTTTTCTTAAACTAGCTTTTTATCTGATTCAAACAGATAAACTTTCTTTAAGTTTCCAATCTGTATGTGATTGTATGCTCTCCAGTCGTTTGTACTTGTTAATCCAATAAAAAGAATTATCAAGTGCTTTGTTATGTTCTTTTAGGGGACTTTGCATTTGCATTGTTCTATCATTTCGCTCTTGGTTTAGAGATTCATAATGTGTTTTATCCTTTTATATGGCAGGGATCTGCATAACAACAAGCTGACTGGTCCACTTCCTCCTCAAATTGGCCGTTCGAAGCGTCTGAAAATATTGTACCATCTTTTCTTTAAATGTTCATGTGATGTCTCTCTAATTTGTAGCTCTTTTGCATCATAACTATGTCTAGACTCTATGCTGTGTTATTGAAATTTGGATCAACATCATACAAACTGACCACATTCATAGCAATTTTGCCAAGAAATGAAAACTCAACCTGATCAAACGTAATCTTTATCAGATACTTGCGCTTGGGGCAATGACCTCAACTAGTGAAGTTTTTCTATTTGAGGCGCATCTTTTGGTGGTCAAAATCATATGTAGTCTGATAATTGAGGAGACATATAATCGTTAATGTGAAAAAGGAAAAGTATCTTTTCTTCTATTATCAAGTGCGTAATTGTCAAGTAAGTAAGAAGTCTACTTTTTCTTACAGAACCTTGTGGTTTACTTGCTGCTGTCATTCAACCTCCTTTAGGGGTTAATCATTTGAAGGATAGGAAGGAAAGGAAAAAAATGTATAACAATAGCATTACCATTTAAAGGCTCATGTGGTTTGCATTATCAAAAGTATTGTATTGTATTTAGATAAACGACTATTAGGTAATTAATTAACATGATCAATGCTTTCGGAGTAATAGTTATTTATTAGCACTAAAGATTTTGACTAACGAATGTGATTCTTGCCCTGTGCTATTTTTTTCTTCTGTTTTAGTGATATTGTTGGGTTAGTGAAACTATTTGGAGCCTTGTACTTTCCAAGTGTATATTGCTATTCATGTTGATTACATCCTGTTCTTGAATTTTCTCTTCCAGAAATATAAGGTGGAATAAGCTGCAAGATGTCATTCCTCCTGA